TAGTACTAGCAGAAAACCTCACAGACCTAGAACACCTACTAAGGAAGAGCAAAAAAGAAAGTGCTAGGTCAGGCTTAATGTTGAACATAAAGAAAACAAAATTAATGGCCACCGAGGACCTTCACAAGTTCGACCTAGAAAATGAAGAAATAGAAATAGTGAAAGAATTCCCATACCTGGGATCAAATGCTGATAGAAATGGGGACTGCAGTCAGGAAATCGGAAGATTAAAAATGGGGAGGGTGGCTATGAAATAACTAGAAAAGATTCTAAAATGCAAAGCTATACAACTCAGCACAAAAGTTAGAATCATACAAGCCACTGTTCCCTATTACCATGTATTGACATGAGAGCTGGACAGTTAGGAAAGATAATAGGAAGAAAATCAACTCCTTTGAGATATGGTGGTGGAGAAAACTGCTGAGGGTCCCATGGACAGCAAAAAGGACAAATAAATGGGTCCTAGAGCAGATCAAGCTGGAATTCCCCCCCCCCCCCCCCCCCCGGAAGCCCAGATGACCAAACTGAGGCTGTTGTACTTTGGACACATCATGAGAAGGGAGGACTCACTGGAAAAGACAATAATGCTGGGAAAGGTGGAGGGAAATAGGAAGAGAGGAAGACCACATGCCAGATGGATGGACTCTATTAAAGAGGTCACGGTATTAGGGGGTTGCAGGAATTAAGCAGAGCAGTGGAGGACAGAGGGTCTTGGAGATGTCTCATCCATAGGGTCACCATGGGTCGAGATCGACTCGAGGGCAATTAACAACAACAAAACAGTGTTGTGTTGTTTTTAAATTGTATTGTTTTATACTTGTTTTTCGCTGTCTTGAATCCGTGTATTGGGAGAAAGGCAAGATATAAGATGATGATAATGATGATGATGATGATGATGATGATGATACCATGGACAGTGGTTCTGATGGCTTCTCAGCCAGGAGCATGGTGAATCCCCTTGGGGATTTATTTCTGATTTTAAAGGACCCATCCAAAGTTCTGAACCAATTCTGCAGACAGGATTAGCTTCTTAGATGGCTTCCTTACAGTATAGCATAAGACTCAGATTCATGATTCACAGAGTCTTCTTCTTTTGGAGGATTTTAAACAGAGGCTAGATGGCCATCTGTTGGGGGTGTTTAGATTGTGTATTCCTGCATGGGAGAATGTGTTGGATTGGATGCCACCAGTGGTCTCTTCCAACTGTATGATTCTATGATTCTTGAGCTGGAAGCAACCAGCCAACACTGGTCATATGAATACACTTGGAAATTTAGACAAACAGGAGATTGACAGATGCACGTGAAATGTCAGGAATACATTCTTCTAAAACAAGGCTTCAAAAACCTAGAAGACTAACAATTTCACAGAGCCTGGAAGCACCCCTTGATTGACTGGCTTCCCATAGGCCTTGCAAGGGCAAGCCTGTTCCTCAAGGAGAAAGCTGCTAAACTCTATGCAGTCTAGACCAGGGGTAGGCAACCTTTTTGAGACCTGGGCCGGTCTCCCG